CTCCCCCCCCCCACCGGAAAAAACTGTATGGGGAGTTGATAACTGTCAGAGTGCAGACTGCTTAATTTTTTTTTTTGTTCCCTCAAAATATGTGGAGTGATGAACAAAAACTGTTAGCCAGATGTTTAAATACCAGAGAGAGGATTTGCAAGTAAAATTAATTGGCAGTTAACCAGTTAATAAATGGATAGTGCCTACTCATCCTTCTGCTGACTTCACAGATCAGTTTTCGTGTCTACCAGTCAACTACCCAGACTTGAATATGCGAGATGTAAACTTACCGATGTTAATGTGTAAGTCCAGTAAAATCTGACTTGTACTTGCTGTCCCAGGCCATAAACAGTGATCAGAATTTCTGTAGTTACTGATGGTGTTCAGGGGTTCTTAAGACTAAAATAATAGCAGCAAAAGCATTAGCAAATATGATGACCCATAACTAAACTACTTATCGAAAATGTTGCAAAGCACTTAACTGCCTGATTAATGTTTTTATCTGCAGTGATTACCTGCTTAAAGTTGTATGTCTCTGACAGCTATAATTTTCCTGTATGTATCTAATGGAAAGAGGGGAGGGTGCACCTAGCAAGCTTGGGCCTTGCTTCTCTGCTGGGGCCATCCCGCGGGCTGTGTGCATCCCAGCTCGTGCGCTGGCCCGCCGACTTGCCGTGTCGAGGATGCGCTGTTGTGATGAGATGACCTGTCCTTATGATACTGATGTGTGTATGAGTCGTTTCTGTGTGTGGTTTTGGTGTGCGCAGCTGTTTGCAGTGATTGGTTATGTACTCTGTGGTCTTCTTTGGATGTTGAATTGGATCGGAACAGAGCCATTTCTTTAATACGACACATCTTTCTAAAAATGCCTAACGTGTGTCCGACTGTTACCCAAGTGACATGGCGCGGTGCTCCCTGGTATGGTAAATCTTCTTCCTGAGGCTTAACCAAGGTATATATTAAACATCAACAGTGCTACTTCATCGGCGCTCCAAGTACGGGCATATGGCATGGAAGTTAAGCTGTGTGGCTTTGTAACAAACAAGAACATGCCATGGCAAACTTATTTACAAGTAATGAGAATTAAGATAAGTAATTTTTCCTTTTCATATGAAAAAAAGCACATGCTATAACTGATGGTCTGGAGGTTCCAATTGTATGTCTACTTTGGAAAAATTAAATGCTTAAATATACCATTCTCACAGGTTTTGGCACAAGTAAGTACTTTTGTGATCCTTTCCGCTATGATTGATTAGCAGCTTATGTTTCTGAAGTTGGGAGACTCCCAGGAAGGAGCTGAACAGCATTGTCAGTGTGGTAGTCAAACCAGTGCATCGTGAAAAGCCAAAAAAACCTCAAATAAGAGTACTATGACTTTAATGGCAAAAGCAAATAAATGCACTGTACAGTGAAAATGGTGCCTGAGTACAGAGTGCCGAATCAGGCCCTCGGTGAAATGAGAAGGGCGCCGCTGAAGCGTGGTCGTATCGGTGTACGTGCTGCCATTGGCTCTGCAGGGGAGGGATAGGGCCAAGGGGAGCGAGGAAGGGGTCCTGCCTCCAGTGTTTACATCACTCTCAAATGGGCCAATGTTAGCATAAAATAAACCACAACATGACTAACCTCTTTATCTGATACTGACTCATACTGTATTTGGATAGACTCAAAAAGTCTTCATTTCCTATCCATTTAATTTTCTCAACCTTTATGTTACTATTGATCACATGTCTCTGAGAGTATTATGGTATGTATTTAAGACCATAAAATGAGTCCTTGTTTCAGGTTTGTTTGACTTTTGGGTAGGACTTATCCAGCCTAGGTAGGAAGAAAGAATTCCTAGGCTTTAAACTCTAAATTCTGTTAACTTTCATTTCTTCTAGTCATTTTAATGTTTCCAGTGATTAAGCGATTTGCCATTGTGAGTTGAGATTGTAACTTAGCATTAGGTTGGGAGTATGAGAAAAGCGTAAGAAAAGCACTGTTGTAAGGTACTGTAGATTTCATAAAGCTGTATGAGATAATATTTTGCTGGGAATATTTTAAAGTGTTCTTTTAATTTTGTGTGTGTTCTAATCTACCAGGGAATATGTCATTTAAAAACTTACCTGGCAAAGCGTTCGCGAAGGCTTTCTTGTCCCTTTTCCAGTTCTGTAATGGGACAGTAATAAGCCAAAGAAGACAGACCCTGGGATCTGTAATGTCATCATAAAATTCTGGTGTTGGAAGGTGATTTTTTTGTCTCTCTATGATGTGTCATAATAACTTGCAATATAAGGTGGTTTCATTTCAGCTTCCTTAGAATTCCTTTTTTTTTTTTTTTCCTAAAGCAAGAAGTGGTTTATAGTTACAAAATAATGGTTGATAAGGAATCAATGTTCTCCTCCCCCCTTTACATTTTTTTGCGGCTGCATACCTTCCAATGAAAAATTAGGATCAGAATTGTATTTTTTTGTGTCTCTAAAATACTATTTGATTCTTCTCGCTCTCCTCCACCTGTAAGGTGTAAATAGAAGCATCTCTACATGCATCTATCAATTGTCCCTGGCGTTGCTTGTATCGGCTCTAGTATTTATGTAAGTCGACTGGCATGAGTGGTCACATTGACTTCCATGGCACTATTTAGAAGAGTTGAACTAGTGTGCATTTGAGTATTTGTAGGATGAAGGAGCTGGATTTGAAACTAAAGAATTAAGGCAGCAAATTCCATACATTTTGCTGCATACGAAGTTATAAAACCTCTTTACTTGTCTGGCCCTGAGAACCTTATTATTGTAATCAATTGCAGGGTTGTGAGGGGAAATCAGGCCTTCTAAGATAAAGACAAAAATAGCACATTCAAATGTATTTTAAGAAAGGCTGCTCTTCCTTCAAAGAGTATGTCTGAGCGTCGTTCAAAGAATAGTGGCAAAAATTTTATCTTTTTTCTTTTTTTCCCTGTGCTTGAAACTAAGCAGATTTAAGAGAGCCACTGAATTTGCTTTTAAACGGCATGCGTGTATGCACAGTGTTATCCTGTAGTATTTGGGAGGGTATCCTGAGATCCCTTAGATCGTGAGGTGCTGAGAGCCTTGCGCCCTCTCTTTGCATCTGCCATTACGCACTAGGCTCTGGGTAGTCTACGGTCAAGCCCAGTCAGGAGGATGAGTTAGGTAACGCGCTCAGTCAGCAAGTCATTTTGGTACTTGTTCTTGTTGGCTATTGGTTGCTACATGCAAAAAGAACAGAATATTTTTGACGGCTGTTTGTTTTCTCTGTTTCTGCCTTGGCTGTCCCTTTGCGGCGTCGCATAGCAAGGCCCCGCGTGGTGGTCGGAGGGTGCGGATTCACCCAGCCTTGCTCGAGGACGGGGGCTTGAAACAACACTAGCCCTTTATTCAGTGCTCGAGTCCTCCTGGCACAAAGCAGGCCCCCAATTCTGAATAATATTTTATCCTTTAAAAATGTGTACCTAGTATTGATCAAAAGAATCGACTTAAGTCCAGTGACATTTTCCTGCTTTTTCCAAAATTCTATTTCTGAGTATTCTATGAACAGAACTGTTGAAAGAAGAAAGACATGGATTTGCGTGAAGAAAAGCTGGAAAACGTGATTAGGTTACAACCTGCTGCTTTAAAAACTAGAAGGCAAATTTAGAGTTTGTGTTACTTTCTTCATGAGAGAGAATAATCATTTAGGGGATCTAGTGCATGCTTTTAACGTGTGCTATATTACTTATTTTATAATAGGGATTTTTTAGATTAAATTCTACATATTACAGTGAGGATGTTGTAGCGTTTGGGATGATTTCTGTAGTGTTAGGTATATTCTGAGGTTCTGAGTGAAATGAGTCTTGTGGTTTTAGCTTACTCTATAACAAAGCGTAGTATGTCTCACACAAGCAGCCCACCTAAGTTTTCATAATTGACGGATGAATTGCTCTGGAAAGACCCAAGATGCTGATATGAGGTAGACTCAAAAAGTAGTTGATCTTTTTAGTTTGTCTTTCTCCAATTTACAGTTCAAAATTTGTTAGAATTTTCAGCGTTGCATGCTCAGGCCAGCGGTGCCACTGCAGATCGCTTTCAGGGCACATGAACACAAATACTGCGTTTACCTGCCCCACCAATAAAACATTTATAAAATAGCCGTTCTAGGCCTTATCAAAATTGTTCTGATATCTTTTTAGGGCAGCTAGAAAATGGTTGCTCTCTTTCCCCTTCCTCCCCTCGTCAACTGCTCATTGTAAGATTTTTGATAGAGACTGCATTGTGATATGTCCTTGAAGTGCTGTGCTGCAAGGTTTTGTTTTGCCTTTTTTTTTTTTTTTCATCCTTCATGTTTAGACTTCATTGCCTCTATAGCAAAGCAGAATTGCTGTAGATACTCTTTTTTGATATTTGGGGTTTTTTTGTGGCAAACATCTCGGTGTTCACTAATGAGGAAAAGCTTTGTCTCAGGTACATTAAAACTGCGAAAACAGGGACCGGGGAAAGATTTCCCCAGCAAAACAGGTACAAGTTAAGTGTTAAATCAGCAGCTCTGTCTTAAAAGACGCCTGATGGTGAGAGATTTTTGTTCACACTGTCCGATTAGAACGGCTCCTACCAGGATACTTAAAGGATTGGATATTTTTGCAGTGCACAACTTATATCAGGTAATTTCTCTTTAAATAGAAATAAATTCCTAAATAATTTCAGCATAGGGCTGTGAAAAATAAATCTTACCCAACCCTGTGAAGCAAGGGGCTATTAAATTTAGAATCTGATAATGGCTAGAATTCTCTACCCTTTAAAAAAAAAAAAAAGGTTGCTTGACTCTTAGTTGGCCATAATAGATGCTATACGGGCCCATTTTTGTCTTCATTCTCCACTCCCCCCTCCCCATACACTATTTTCATTGATGGGGAAGTTTCATTTCCTTTATTTATATATTTTTAGTTTGTGTGTGTGTTTAGGGGTGTGGGGGGAAGAAAGGAGGGAAGTATGTGTTCTAGTTTTTGTATTTAAAAGGAAAAAAAAATTGTGTTGATGTATTTAGTTGTGGCCTTAAATACATTCTCCCCTTTAAACCAGAAATTCTTTTGGTAAAACAGTTCATGTTAGGGGGGGTGTGGTGTTTTGCAACAGTTCTGTATGGGTAAGAGCTCCAGTTGTACTAGCAGAAATGTGCTTTTCTCAGACATATTGTCATGTTTTACGTGTCATATCAAAACTAGAAATGCCTTTTCCCGGAAGGGACTCTATTTACACTTGGAGGGTGATGCCAATTACAACTACATGAACAAAACTTTTTGTAAATCTTACAGTTGACCTCAATATTGACTTCTTTCTTTTTCCTAGCAGAACACCCACTACAAACCTTGCACGTACTTTTGGACAGATCAGTGTGGTAAACGCTACAGTCCTATGGCAGAAATGCGTATAGGCACTCTTGCAAGATTATGAGAGTCTTATGCATTATGCTCTTAGCTGGGTCCTAGTGAAATGAATGCTGTTATTGATAGAGCTTTTCCTAGGTTGAAATAGCCCTCTGCTCTGCATGCAGAATTGAATACAACTTATTGGTGAGCAGGAAGTGTATCATGAAGTATACTGTTCATATGCTAAAATATGTTCTCTTAATAAGTGAGCCCATGTACTTTAACTTTGAATACAATTTTAAAATCCTGCAGGTTAGGAAATACTGTATTAATTTGTGAAAGTTGGAAGCATGAAATAGGTTGCTGTTATATTCAGTTTGGTCACAGGCTAAATAATTGTTTACTCTCTTTGGACAATGTAGCAATGCATGAAGAAGGAATAGGTAAAAGGGAATGTTTTGGCAAGAATCCGTAGCTCGTAGTTGTTCCAGTAGGACTGCTGCTAACAGTTTTGTAAACTGGACTTGTACCATCAATGCTACATCTCTACTACCCTGCTGTCTCACTTTCTGGTAATAGAGAAGATATGCTGGTGGAAGATCCTGTCTGAACCAGGGAAAAAAAAAAGTAAATAGTATCATAGTTATTTCATATATAAATTTCCTAGTTATTTATTCTTTTTAGGAAGATAGGATTTGCTTTGGTAGCAGCAATAGTGATTTATTAATTTAAAAAAACCATGCTGACCAGTCTTGAAGTAATTCACATCTACTATGTGCTACAAGAATTAGTACTTAAAAGACCCTACATAGCTAAGCTGAGCTTTTTTTCCCCTTAACATATAGGCTGCTGAAGTCCTCAAATGCTTATGGTGTTGACTTTGAGTTCCTTAAATATCTTCCCAATTGTTTCTTTTTGGCCGGCTTCTGTTTCATTTTGTCTCACCCTGAGTATCAGAGCTGGGCGTACCTTGCGGAGAAGTGGACCTCTTTGAGTTGGATGCACATGTCACTTTTAGCAGTGATAGAGCATTGCTTGCTCTCTGAAGGCTGAAAGTATCACCTTTGCGATGGCTCCTTGACTGCAGTGAAACTTCAAATTAAATACAAGTTCTGTGGCCTTTACCAGAGCTGTATCTGCTGAGCACGGGAGGCTATAATCACCTGAACCACAAGTTTACATTATGTATAGCTTAGCATTTAGCACAGCTGTTTTGTTGCTGCTTGTACCCCTAATATATCAGGGGAGGAGGGGGAAAGTAGTTCAATGGCTAACGTGCTTGCTCTTTTGAGGTTTCTCTTCTATTTATTTTTTGTTACTTTTCAAAAGCTTATATTCTGTGTCGCAAAGGAACACTTATGTATTCTGACAGAACGAAAGAAATGGTTAATGTTAACCTGCATTGAATGGTGCAGCTTTGCAGAAGCGTTGATGCATCATATGTCTCTTCAGCATGGCATGCAGTTCAGATTAAGCAAAGGTCTCCCACGTGGTTATTTGCATGTGTCCTCCTATCTCTGTTTTCTATCTGCAATTTCAGTATGTGCTTCCAGAATTATTTTTGTTCATTTCCAATCATTCTTCAAAGATAACTGCTGAAAACCGTCAGGCTGGTTGTGATTTTGCAGCAGTAGAAGGTAGACAACTTTGATCTCCATGTTAAATGAATTTTCTTCATGTGTGGGCCGGGGTGTGTCGTGCGTTGATTTAGTTTTTATTGATCAGTGTAAAAACGTGAATTCAGCATCACAGGAATGATAATACACAAGTACTTGCAGATATTCTAATGAGTTCCTGGCAAAAATAGGGCAGAAAACCATCTCAAGAGATTGACATGCTTTAGTGGTGAGATGCTGAACCAGGATACTTTTATATAAAAGGACTAGGT